CTTGCAGCATGTCTCTTCTTGAAAGTAAATACCCTCTTTGCTTTCCTAGAACTCAAGATGTCGTTCTTCTTCTTCAACATCACAATTTCCTCGGTTAATCCCTGAATAGTGGTTACTAGCCGCCTTAAGTCTTTCTTGAGAGTCTTGATCTCCTGGAGCTCAACCCAAGTTGGAGAAGAGGTCGAGGTTTCTTCTATTCTGATCGTTGTACTTTGGTGCGGATACGCCATATTGATCTTCATCATCGTCCCTCTAACAAGATCAAGAGTCATGACCCCCATCCTCATGTCAATAACCGCTCCTGCTGAGACTAGAAATGGTCTTCCTAAAATTAGTTGATACTAAGGTTCCCTTTCCATCTCGAGAATCAGAAAATCAGTGGGAATCTTTACTCCTCCAACTTCAACAAGGAGATACTCCAATACCCCTACGGGTTGCCTAGAGCTTTGGTCCGCCATCACAATCGTCAGGCTGCATGGTGTAAAGGTTGTATAGCCAATCCGCTGAGCTATTGAGAGGGGCATCAAGCTAATCGAAGCGCCTGTGTCGCATAAACACTCGTTTAAGATCGTTGATCGGATTGAGCAGGGGAGTGTGAAAGCTCTAGGGTCCCCCATCTTCTTGGAGAAATCAGAATCTTGAGAGGGTGGAATTCAACTCTTCCTTTGCTGCATCCTTTCCAATAGGACTTCTTTGAGAATCTCCCTGTAGGAGGGGATGTTGGCGAAAGCATCCACCAAAGCCTTCAGCTGATCGTTCCCTGATAGTGAATCGAGAATGTGGTTATATTCTTCCTTGATTTCTGCCTTAGATTCTTTAGGGTAGAGTAATGGTCTTCGATTTGAAGGCTTGGGGCTAGTAGCTCTGATCGGGCGAAGAGGCTCGCCATAACTTAATTCACACAACCTGTCAGACAAGCAGCGTACACGATATCTGGCTCGATCGGGTTCATGGTACCTTCGATCGGATCGGTCGAGTCTTTGGTAGGCTCGATCGGGTTCACCATTGGCACGGTCGTGCCTGTTATAGACTCGATCGGGTTCACCGTGTAGGGTACAAATTTGTGCTGAATCCTCCCCCTCTTGAACCTCACAGTCGTCAGTGAAAATTGGGAATGGTTTTCCCAGAGTAATCGCATGAGCAGTAGCAAATTCTTTAGGGTTCATGATAGACTTTCCTTGGAGTTGGCTAGAAGATATGGAGGGTTGGTTGCCTTCCAAGATAACTACCCTTTTGTTTAATGAATCGAACTTTTGGTGGAGCTCCTGTATAGACTCACGCAACTCGCTACGAAGCTCGGCTAACTGCTTGACGTGTTCGAGGCGGCTATTGTTCTGTGCTTGGAGAAGCTGATGGAGTGTTGTTTGAATATCTTGTTCTGGGTGCACATTAGAGGGGTGCTGTTGGAATCCTGGAGGGTGTGATGTAGGCTGTTGATAAGAACCTTGGGACTGTTGTTGTGGTTGAAAAGCTTGTTTTTGATTAAAGCCAACATATGGCTTGTTCTGGAACTGTTGTTGTTGAGGCGGATAGACTTGATCTTGGGGGTTCGCGACGTTGGTGCTTCTATAAGAGAGATTCGGGTTGGGTTTGTAGTTGTTGTAAACCTTTTGGTAACCTCCTTGATTCTGGATATACCTCACCTCCTCATTGTTAGCACAATCCCCATCATTAGGTTGGAAGGTCTCCTCCTCTTGAACAAAGTGTACATTCTTCTGCTGGTTGCTCAAAAACTTATCGAGCTTGTCGTTAAGGGCCTTCATATCCTTTTTATACTTGTCCTCTTGGTCATTGTTGCCTCTAACAGTTCTGTCATAATCCTCATTATACGTGCCATCAGATTGAGCTAGGTTCTCCACAAGTTCCCAACCAGCTTCAACATCCTTGTTCATAAAGTTTCCATTGCTAGCAGTATCGAGGAGTAGGCAAAACTTAGGTAGGATTCCTCGATAGAGAGTACTAAGCAGCGACTCATTGTTGAAGCCGTGATGAGGGCACTGTGACTGATAGATCTTGAATCGTTCCCATGCTTCATAAAATGTTTCGTTGTTACGCTGAGCGAAGCTATAGATATCATTCCTTAATCTGGCGGTTCTTGCATTGGAGAAGAATTTGGATAGGAATGCCTTCTTACACTCTTCCCATGTCGTGATTGAACCGGCTGGCAAGGACTTTTCCCATTGATGAGCCTTGTCGCCTAAGGAGAAAGGGAACAATCGCAGCTTGAACCCATCTTCGCTCACTCCGTTGATCTTAGTTAAGCCACACATTCGATCGAACTAAACGAGGTGATCGAGTGGATCCTCTATTGATAATCTATGGAATTTATTTCCTTGTATCATTGAGATGAGGCTGCTTTTGATTTCAAAGTTATTGTTCTGGACTGCTGGCGGGACTATCCCTTGTCTAGTGGTGTGGTTTCGTGGTGCATCACCGGCTCCGATTAGGGTTGAGGCGCGTGGTGGAGCTTCATTTCCACTTGTTGAGTGTTGTTGTCTGATGCTTGAACGCGTTGCTTTCTGAGTTGTCTTGGCAAGCGGTCAATGTTGTTGAGGTAATTGAGTAGGTGCTGGTTGCCCTTTGATATGGTGTGCATGCAAGGTTACTCGATCAGAAACACGTGGTAGACTCGATCGGATCTGCTGTTGGCTCGGTCGAGTGCAGAGTTTAGCTCGATCGTGCTGAGTGTAGTTCGTTCGAGTGCAGAGTGTAGCTCGGTCGAGTGCAGAGTGTAGCTCGGTCGAGTGCAGAGTGTAGCTCGGTCGAGTGCAGAGTGTAGCTCGGCCGAGTGTACCTGAAATGCAAGACAGGCAAGTAGCAAAGGTAGAAATCAGCAAGTGAATATGAAAGAAAGTAAACGAACTTGATCTAGATAGAACTGGGATCCTATATGGAACAATTAACATCTAAATGGCAGCGGCGCCAAATTGAAACATGTATTTTTGTACCCTTGAAGTTCAATTCCCCTTAACGTTGCAGCATAAGAGGTATCGATCCAGATGGATGAATTGCAAACACTTAAGATATAACAGATCTAATCAAGTCAAGCCAAGCAGTTTAGGGGTTGGTTTAACAAACTCAAAAGCAATAAAGTAAACTAAAGAAGCAGAATTTAAAGCAGTAAATAAAACAGAGAATCAATCAGATAAACAAAGGGTCTTAAGGATGGGCTAATGGGGTGATGAATCCTCTTAGTATATTTGGGATGCTTAACTTGCTCAGATAGATCTAATCTTAGACAATAAACCACTTAACCTAATCAGTCCAATCTCTTGGCAAAGATTATCAGATCTATAGCACTTCCTAATCTCAACTTTCATTGATGAAACATACTATAAATAGACATAAAGAACAAGCTCATTAATGTCAATCTACTGCTTAACAACCAATCTCTTGGGTAAGCAAATAGATCTCTGGCATTAGTTGATCAGACATTCCATTTGAACACTTTTTGAGTGCTGGAATGTCTAAGATCTAATCTTGCATGGTTAATGCTAAGATAGCATTATGATCTCCTAATCCAGAAGGTATCTACCTAAATCTATACTTAAGCAACCCTAGAAACTAAGATTCCTTATCACCTAACCCATCCTATAAACCCTAGAAAGACTACTCAGATCTAGAGTTCATCATGAAGAACACAAACCCAGAAATCCTTGAATCTTTCATAACTAGATGGATAATGATCTAAGGAGCAACATATTGTAAAGAAACAACTCCAAATTCTCAATAGATCAAAAGATATAAAAATTACAAGTTTCTGTAAATGTTTGGTGGCTACAGAGAAAAACCCTAATGAAAACTCGTTTTTGGCTTAATGACCCAAGGGGTCTATTTATACTAAAGGCAGAAAGCCCTAAACACACAAAAAGACAAATTACAAAGTCGGTTTAAAGCGAGCTCGGTCGGGTGCTTGTTGGGCTCGTTCGGGTCCTTCCTCGGCTCGTCCGTGTTCAGCTTCTTCTTGTGAGTCCGGGTGCTCGATCGTGCTCGCTTTGTCGGGTTGGATA